GCTTCTGATCACATGACTGGTGCGTCTTATGTTTTTTCTACTTTTCAGTCTGCTACCTCCACACGTAGTGTTACTCTTGCTAATGACATTTGTTCTAAAGTTTCAGGTTTGGGGACTACTAACTTGAGTCCTGATATGTCCCTATCTTCCGTATTATTTGTTCCTCAATTTCCTTTTAGTTTACTTTCCATTAGCAAGATTACCCGTTCTCTCAATTGTTCTGTAACCTTTTATCCTTCTTATTGTGTTTTTCAGGATCTTAAAACGAAGAGGAAGATTGGTAAGGTGCATGAAGTTAGTGGCCTATATTACTTTGATTTTGATTCACCTACTTGGGCTCTACAGACTTTGTTGTCTCCTTTTCAGTGTCATTGTGGTCTTAGACATCCCTCTCTCAAGAATCTGAAGTGTCAGGTTTCCAGTCTTAGCTCTTTATCGTCTTTGTCTTGTGAAGCTTGTCAACTTAGTAAGCATCACCGTGTGTCATTTTAGTCTCAAGTCACTAATCGTGTGTCTAGTCCATTAGAGTTGGTATATTCTGTTTAATTTTTTTTTTTTCGTTGACAGCAACAAATCAGTTTGATTTGCACCAAAATACTTTGATTTGCACCAAATCGTTGGCAGCAAAAACAGAGATGAAGAAACCAAGCCCACAAATCAGAGAATAGAGAAAATGCCAAAAAAAAAGGCAATAGAGAAGAAGACAAGAATTGCTGGGCAACAAATCAGCAAAAATACTCAAGCAAAAGCAAATCAAACAAATTTTTGAAATTGGAAAAAATAACAACACTAACTTGGATGAAACCCTAGGTCTCACGATTTCTCTCTTCATCGCTTGAGCTGCAACCACGAGTACCAGCCACCAGGTATCTTTTTCTTCTTCTTCTTCTCTCCCTCCGGCACCGGCATCGGCATCGCAATCGCCATCGCCATCGCCATCGCCATCGCCTTCGCCTTCACCTTCGCCAGTCGCCTCTTGCCTCTTCTCTCTCTGTCTTGTTTTGTTCGTAAGTCTGTGACTCAGGACTGTGTTGGTTTGTTATAAATAGGAAAATTACATTTTATACCCCATTATATTATAATTTTTTATTTTTAAGTATATATAAGTACCATTAATTTAATTTGATACCCTTAATTATTTTTTTAATATTAATAAATTATATTGGTGACTTGCATAATATGTAGAATATTAATGAAATGTTATGTTTTTATGAGTCTATGCTTTTTTTTCAAAAGTATATATATTTTATTATTAATTATTTAAAATTGCGCCGTATCTTACAATACACGATACGATACGATACGATACACTATTTTAAAAAAATGATACACCTTCCGATACACGATTTGATAACTATGATGGGGTCCAATAAAGAATATTTCATCTAATAAATATCCTTATTTTGTGTCATTTGTGGATGACTGTTCTCGTGTAACTTTGTTGTTTCTGATGAAAGTTCGGTCTGAATTATTTTCTATATTTTAGACATTTCGTAAGGAAATAAAAACTCAGTATGAGTGTCGTATCCGTATTTTACGTTCTGATAATGTTCAGGAATATGAATCTGATCCTTTTTTAGCTTATCTTAATAAAACTGACATTATTCATCAGATTTCTTGTGCTTATACCTCTCCACAAAATGGTGTTGCTGAACGCAAAAATCGTCATTTGTTGGAAGTCACCCGTGCCATGTTATTTCAGATGAATATTCCCCGATATTTTTGGAGTGATGCTCTTACTACTTGTCATCTTATTAATCGTATGTCATCTTTTGTGTTAAATGGACAAAGTCTATATTCTGTTCTTTTTCCTGATAAACCCTTATTTTTCCTGACTCCTATGGTTTTTGGATGTGTCTGTTATGTTCACAATTTGGGTCCTGGGTTTGACAAACTTGACCTCTGAGCTACCAAATGTGTATTTCTTGGTTACTCTCGCACGCAGAAGGGGTATCGTTGTTACAGTTCTTCTCTGCATTGATACTTTACTAGTGCCGATGTCACGTTTGAAGCATCTGTTTCATACTTTCCAGCACCTTCTCAGCCTTTGGATCTGGACTTTGGATTATCTCCTGTACTACCATCTCTTTCCTCATCTTCAGACGTTCCGCTGCCCACTATGTTACCATCTACTTTACCTCTCCGTGTCTACTCTTGTCGTTCTCGCCCATCGACTGAGGTGCCCGTACTATCTTCCTTGCCGCCTTATGATCCTGGTACATCAGGTAATTTAGACTCTTTACCTATTGCTCTTCGCAAAGGTACTCGTTCGTGTGTTACTAATCATCCAATTTCTCATTTTGTTTCATATGATGCCTTGTCTCCTATCTTTTCCTGTTTTACTTCCCAATTATCTGCTATATCTATTCCTAAGCATTTACAGGATGACTTATCTGATCCGGGTTGGAGGAAAGTTATGGAGGAGGAGATGAATGTTTTACATTATAATGGGACTTGGGATCTCATCCGTTTACCTTTGGTAAACAAACTATTGACTGTCATTGGGTGATACTGTTAAATTTCATCTAGATGGTTCTGTGGAGTGTCTCAAAGCCCGACTTGTTGCAAAGGGCTTTACTCAGACTTATGGTGTTGATTATGAGAAGATTTTTTCTCCTGTTACCAAAATTTCCTCTATTCGTATCTTAGTCTCTTTGGCTGCTAATCTTGATTGGCTCTTATTTCAGTTAGACATCGAGAATACCTTCCTACATGATGACTTGGTTGAAGAGGTATACATGAAGCAGACACCTGGGTTTACTGCTCAGGGGAGTATGGTAAGAGTGTATGTCGGTTAAAGAAATCTTTGTATGGTTTGAAGCAGTCACCTAGGGCATGGTTTGATAAGTTTTCAGATGCAGTTTTAGAGTTTGGTCTTCTTCGATGTCAGACAGATCATTCTGTGTTTCATAGACAGACAGATGCTGGATATGTCCTATTGGTGGTCTATGTAGATGATATTGTGATTACTGGGAATGATTCTAAGGGGATTGTCAAGTTAAAAATATTCTTACAGGATCGATTTCATACTGAGGAAACTCAGGTATTTCTTGGGTATTGAGGTGGCTCGATCTAAATAAGATATTTGTTTATTCTAGAGGAAATATGTACTTGACGTGCTTGAGGAAACAAGTTTGCTGGGTGGTAGACCGATTGATGTTCCTATGGATCCGAATCAGAAATTATTGATGGATGATGGTGCATTGTTTGAGAATTAGAGTCAGTATCACAGATTGGTTGGAAAGCTTAATTATCTTACTATTACTAGACCGGATATTTCCTATGCAGTCAGTATAGTAAGTCAGTTCATAGGGTGTCCTAGAGTACCACATTGGGAGGCAGTTACTCGTATTCTGCGATATCTCAAACGAGCTCCTGAACTTGGACTGTTATATCAAGCTAATGGACATCTTAGAGTGGAAGGTTTCTCAGATGCTGATTGGGCTGGCTCTCCTTTTGATCGGAGATCAACCATTGGATATTGTACTTTCGTAAGAGGTAATGTTGTCTCATGGAAAAGTAAGAAACAATCCGTGGTAGCAAGATCCAGTGCTGAGGCTGAGTATAGGGCAATGGCACATACGACGAGTGAGTTGACTTGGCTACTACACTTCCTCCAGGAAATTGGGTTTTCAGTTCAACTTCTTTTACAGTTGTTCTGTGACAATCAAACAGTTATCCATATCACTGTCAATCCTGTGTTTCACGAGAGAACCAAGCATATTGATGTTGATTGTCACTTTATTCAGAGCAAAATAGTAGCTGGGGAGATTACGACTCTATTTGTGAAATTTGACGATCAGCTTGCAGATATATTTACCAAAGCATTGAGTCGTACACGTCTTACAGCTATTTGTTTCAAGTTTGGATTATATGATATATATAGTCCAGCTTGTGGGAGAGTGTTAAGAGTATTAGGGTAGTATGTGTAAATTGTTAATAGTGTTAGAGTATTATGTATAATTCTTATTATTGTGAGTTAACTATAAATACAAGTGATGTATGAGAGCTAGGTTTTGTTTTTTTAACCTATCTCTGTTTCTCTCTAATATTGTGTTAATCCTCTAAACTTAACACGTACATATACTTTTTCTGAAATATTCTTTAATATTTGAATCTAGCCAGCATTATTTCCCGTCTATAATTGTTTTTTGAGAAAACTGAATTAGTGTCTCCATACTTCTGAAGCTGGATCTCAGAACAACTATTACATAAAGGCTTAATCCACTGTAGCAGAATAAAAGATCAAGTGTGAAGAATATAGTTTGTTTAAGAAGAATAGTTGGTTCATCATCACAACTCTTTTTCCTCTACCTTTTAGCGTTTTGGGGCCCTACTATGTATAATTATATTGCCCTTTCTTCCACCTCCAAAAGGAAGAGGGGGAGAGGGAGGGGGGGTGGTTTATGCAATGAAATAACAATCAACTGCTTGGTGACTTAATCAGACAGGCTTTTACTGCTTTCTCTCTCTCCAGTAGTCTCGGACTGATCATCTTGCTGCAACAAAGCTAATTTAGGAATGAATCTAATGGAAATTTAGATCTTTGTCCGTGTGAGAGTGCATCACATAAACAAATGTTTTTCGTTTCCAGTCTCCAGGGGATAGACACGGTCGTTTTTTATTTCAACAAGATTCCCATTTTCATGCTTATTTCTATAATGGCTCCAGGGTTTTTATTATTACCTTTTTCTCTCACACTGTTTGTGGGTGGGAAAAAGGATTTGTGAGTTTTCTGATTTTTTGGATTTGTTTTAATTTTGCTAACTAGGATTTGGGGACACTAAATGTAGATGTTCCAAACTGGCTCTGCTTTTCTACTAAGAACAGAAGATTGTAGAAGGTTATTGCACATGTTATTGGATTCATCAAATCATACTATGAAATAAATAGCGAGTGTCTTAGCTGTTTGGAGTTTGTTTTTCCGGAAATATGAAAACGAGGAAAAACAAAAAGAAAACAAAACCCTTCCCTGTAATAGAATTAAAAAGCTTTTACAATCACCAAGAATTCTGTAATGGCTTCTCCAGCAATGCCGAAAGGTACATCTCCCGGAGCTCCGGCCCTCGATCTAACTTTCGTCCTATTATCCACTTCACCTTGTTGAAGCCAATGCTGTTGATAAGCGGGGCATAAACTTCCTCCAACTGCTCATCCACACAAAAGAAATGGTCAAGCCAAAACAGTCCTCCAGGCCTCAGCACCCTGTAGATGTCAAAGAACAAGAAATGCAGCAGGGTGGTTGGTATCCAGTTACTCAATACATGCATCGAGTGCACGATATCAAGTGTGTTATCGAAGAAGGGAAGTCTCCGAGAAATGCTTATGTACAGAGGAACAACGCCTCTTGATGCTATAAAGTTGTTGAAAGGACCATTCAAGTTCATGGAGGTTGTTACAACAGTAATGTTCCTTTCCCTCATCCGTATAGCAAATGTGGCCACACCACCTCCAATGTCGAGCCCTATTCGGATTGTGCCAGGCTTCTTTACCGCCAGTACTTCATCAATGGTGAAGTCAAGTCCACCACCACTCTTCGATCCAGCCCACCGAGTCTTCTCTATACCTTGGAGATCAAAACAGTCTTTACAATCATCAAAGCCTTTTTGGTTGTGCACGCGGTTGATGAGACACAAGTAGTTCTTGCAGGTATATGCTGTCCAAACCACTGATGAATCAGATGGTGTGGACCAAAAGCTATCAGGGAGAGGGTAGGGTTCAACATATTCTTGTGCAGCAGCCGGACGGCAACGACGGCGAGGGAGTGGCTCACAACCCTTAAGAAGGAGCTTTTGGGCTAAGAGCTCATCATCAGGGCAGGATCCATTGACCTTGTATGACATGTAGTGGCGAAGTTCATCAGGAAAGAGAGTGCATGGACGACCAACTGGAGGGAGGAGCTTGTCAGAATCAAAATTTCGGTTGACTCCAAATGGGAGTTTTTGTGGAGATGTGAAGGCGATGAACTCAGGTGGGAGGTCTGATGGTGTCTGAGAGTTATCAGATACTTGAACGTCACTGTTTTTAGCAGCTGGATCGGAAATGATGGAGCCTGTGGTGATGACAGTGGTGGCAGTGTTGGTAGCAGTGTTTGTCGTGGGATTTAAAGAGCAAGACGAGTAATAGGTGGTGGAGAAGAACAGGGTCAGAAGATTTGAGGACAAAAGAAGGAAGAGAAAGAACAGATTGCTGGAGAGACACTTGCGCTTATGAGGGGAATCCATGGGTTATGTTTCTGATTGTTTTTGGTTGCTTGGAGTTGAAGATGCAAGTGAAGGTAGTAGTAATATGAAGTTGGTGGGAGGTGTCTTTCAATGTGCTTGTAGGACTTCAAATGTATCAATCCTTGTGATTTTACCATTTGAATATATGATTATAATTGGTCTTCCAATCTTTAGTCAAGCAATGTGTAATTCCACTTTGCCCATATTGTGCAGGCAATTATTTTACTTAAGCATGGATAGTTTCGTCTTTGGGCTCTTCATTTCTGATGCAAAGTAGGTGCCTTAGATCATGATTCATGATAAATTAATGTAGCAGGTACAAGATTAACTCATACAAGGTCAACTATGGGTGAAGCTCAATGAATCCAACATCATAAATTAATCTTCTACTCATAGAACCAAGGTTTGAATTTTGAATTATTAATTTAAGTGAAGACTTCCCTTTTTAATAGATTATCTCTTTGTCCTTTAATGATAATCCCTCTAACTAAGAGAGAGGCAAAAGCACTGTTATGTAGGTGGATCTGAGCCATGAAAACAATAATACTTGAGGGATGATGTTATTTTATTGTGTCCTAAATGTCATGGATCTGACTCACAAAATAGTATCAGATTATATATGTATAAACTTTCCTCGACCTTCTTAACCACCCGCACTTAGGTATACCGTTACGGATCAAGCAGTACACCCATTTAATTCCAATGACCTTCTTTCCCTCAGGAAGAGAAGTGAACGTCTAAGTATTATTTTTCTCAATGACATGATTTTTTTTCATTCATTGCTTTCACTCAATGTTTATACCTACACACATCATTCAAAGTAACAAGATCACAAACTTTTTTGTCCCAAAACCATATTGTCGAAAGGAGATTGGTAATTTTAGTCCCGGTGGTTATTAGAGACCGTTCTATGCTTGCTAGCATTTGCTTGAGACGATAGAGAGATTCTGGTGTGTTGGCTGCCTTTTAGGCGGATCTCAACCATAAGCATGCATTCAATGACCATAAATTTCAATCCCAGTACAGTTCTATTTGTACTTGGACTTACTAATTTTTTATGGGAAAGGCGGTGTGTTTTGCATATTTAATGGAATGATCCACATGCATCAGGAATCCATGCATCTAATTTTTCAATCTGGTATGGATGCCATACACAAAGTCATTGGTTTCTTCAAACAGATCTGTCCACAAGGAATTGACAGATAAATTAATCAATTAGTTGTTCACTTCCTGAGGAGACCATTAATTAGGGTTAATAGCACTTTTGATTCTTAATGTATATATTTTTATTAATTTAGTCTTTAATGTATCAATTTTCTTAATTTAGTCCCCAAAGTATTCAATTCATGTCAATTGGTTCTCGTATACAGGAATCGTTAAGTTTTTTGATAGAAGTGATTACATGTTATTTTTTAAAAAGGTATGTGATCATTCTGTCAAAAATTTAACGGTTTGTCTATGTGGGGATCAAAATGACACGAATTGAATAATTTATGAACTAAATTGACAAAACTGATATATTGAAGATTAAACTGATAAAAAATGGATACTTTAAGAAATAAAAAAGCTGCTAACCCAATTAATTACTTCAAGTATACTCTGTGAAGATTAGGAGTGTTCAAATTTTTGATTACTGGTAAATTTCAACCATACTCGACTCTATTGATCAACTATCCAAAAGAATCGGATAGACCAACAAAAGATATTTTAGTATTCCGCAAAAAATTAGGTAGGAATATGGAATACTTATAAAATTTTCTTATTTTTATCTTATCTTACCCGTGTATATATATATATATTGATATATATACTTAAAAATTTTAATTGATGTTATTACTTTCTTATATATGATGTATTGATGTTTATGGCTTTCTTGTAATGTTTTATTGTAATTATTTATATATTATCGAATTTATTATATTTTATTTAGTATTGGTTGTTTATTATGTTAATTAATTGGTGCAAGTTACTTAAGTAAATTGTTAAAATGATCCAAAAATTAATAACTAAAAAAATATTTTCACCCCACTTCCTATTTGATTGTTTTGGATAGAATTCAGATAAAAATAGTACACTTGATCGAATAGGGTAGGACAAGAAATTTTTTTTTTTGTAAAATATCGAATAAGAAGATAGAACACCATAATTCCTAAATATAGGATAGGGTGAACAACCCTAACGAAGACCCCAAACTGTAGAGGCAGTGTTGAAACTACAATTTTCTCATATGTTAATTGTCCTAAAAGTATTTGGACTCGGGGTTGATAATTCTTAACATGACTTGATACGAAATTGATGTGAACGAGTATGGGATCAAGCCATAATCCGGTTAACCTCTCAAATCTACTTCATAAAAAGGTCATTTTAAGTTTGCTTATACACGAGACGAACTGGCACAATAGAAACCGATTATGAACAATCCTAAAGAAGTATATGGAGAGTAAAAAAAAAATTTGGTATAAAAGTAGATATGTAGATAGATCACTCGACTTATTTATCTGAAAACATTGTTTCTTAATATGACATAACTATTTGTGAGAAGTTCTACTACACTTATGTCGGAGTCAAAGTTAAAGTCTTGTCGCATGAACGTTGAAGAATAAACTCGAAAATGAGCTCGTTAGGAAAAACTCTTGGCCAATTCCGTGTTTATATGCCATTATGAGGTCTACACATACCATGGATCTCCAGCTACATCAAGTAAGCCAGCACATGGATCCAAAAAAATACTTGAGTTGCTGCTTTTCCAATAAATTTAACAGTAAATTCTGAGTCCTTGATCAAAGAAATTGCTCCCTAAAAAGTACCTATGGATCCTGCAGAAGGATTGTCGAGGAGAGTTATATGGAGTGGCATTCAGAAAGGTTACAACGAGGTTTCCTTTTAATATATATATATATATATACTAGTCATAATTTGTGCCTAAAGGCACAATGAAATATAAAATTTGAGCATCTAAAAAATCGATTCCACTGTATTAAATAATAATTTTTATTTCTTTTATTTATTTGATTACATCATTTAAAATTTATTTTTACCCATTATTTTTTTAAAAATATCCACAAAAATGTATAATTCGATTAATTTTTTCAACATGTGTATATCGTATATGGATAATGTTTGAAATAAAAATTATATTAAACTACAAGTTAATCAAATATTAAATGATTAAACATGTGATTGAAATAGGTGATGAGATCGTTTTGAGGGAAAAATATGTATGAGATAAAATTTCAAATACCTAGTTGTTTTATTATATAAGTTTTTTCTGTTTACTTGGATCTAAATTTTTCTAATATATTTATATCTCTATTTCCATTTTCAGTCTTGGTAGGTTATGTCTACTTATATACGATAAATCTCACATAAATTCACGGTAGGTAAATCCATCAAGAAGAAAAAATATGGAGAAAATATATCGACAGGAATCTAACCAATCTTTTCCTTATCGGAAGGTTATCTGCGTTGAATTCAGAAAGGATAAATTGTTTATAAGCTAGCCTTTTAGTAGAGCATCTCTAGTCCTTTGTACCCAAGTTTAAATTTGGGTAAAAATGGTTTAAAATAATTCTTCAATATTAGACTTATGTTCATACTAAATGAAAAAAAAAATATTTTTTAAATTCAAATCAAGGGAGACCCAAATCTATACCCAATTTTTTAATAGTAAGATTTCACCATCTTATAAAGATTCAATTTTCATATTTTACTCTCTTTTAAATTTGGATTTGTCCTCATTTAAATTTAGATTTCTCCTCCTTTAAATTTGAGTTTCTCCTCCTTTAAATTTGAGTTTCTCCATTGAAGAGGTCTATATCAAATCAAGTTTTTTTACATTTTTTTTTTTACTCAAATTTGGATAAAAATTTGAATTTTCATTGAAGATTGTCTAATACAATCTATAAAAACAAAAAAATGGTGAAAAAAAATAATAGAAATAAGGGCGTTACCACAGTATTTAGGGCATCCTTCTAACATATTTTTATTCTATTTTCCCATAACTGCCCACTTTGACTTTTACAGAAGGATCCAGAGAATATTAACCAAAACCCAGAAAAAGGAGTAACATTGAAAAAACACAAAAAGCATGTTGAATATATACTGAAATTGTACTTGATAGCCTGGAAAAATAGACCAAGATTTAAGATTTGGGATTAGCATGTCTATGCCAGTGGCCCACGGAGAGTTTACACGTACAACTACTACAAACTTTCAAATTTTTGTATGTAATATTTTAAATATCAGGTGGTCAAAATGATCAAATGACAAAACTTAGGAAGTTTGGATGTAATTTTCTCATATATTTATCATTACATCTTCCATTTTATCACTCAATCTAATTAATGATGTCGATCATAATCAATTGGGTCTAACCTATTGGCCACAGTTGATTTTTTCAAAATTCCTCTACCAATCTAACTAGGAGGCCAAGGGATTAATCTTGTCTCATGTCATTCTTTTGGAAGTTACATTGTTTTATTCTTTCGGAATTTTTTTTTATCTTTTTTTGGGTCTTTTTTACTCTTTTATAAGCACATTATTCTTTGTTGTTATAAGCGATTGTTCATTACAATAGTGATATATTAATGTACATTAAAAATAAATGTGAACCATTTTTATCCTAAATGAATGAGTCAAGAGAGATAAAGCACACAACAAGAAAAAATTAAAAAAAAAAATGTTCGAACTAATAAATAATGACAAGGTCACCAAAGATGGAAACACCTAAAGGGAGACAAACAGATGGCAACATAGCAAACAACATTGTACGGAAAATTATTTAAAATTGATTTCTTGGTGTGGCTGCTACTTTATTTCTATTTTCTATTGTTTCCATCATCGTGCACGTCCTAACTTGTTTAATCCTATTGTTTATTTATATTTGGTTTGGCTATTGTAATGCATACAGAAAGTGACTGTGTTTTAATAAACTTTCACTGTAGTACTATGGTGAAATATTGGTTTGACACCTAAAAAGAAGGATAAAATAAACACATTTGAAACGACATATATTAGCAATTTAGTTATAATTCGTGTCTGAAGGTACAATGAAATATAAATTTGATCGTTTAAAAAATTAATCTCACTATATTAAAAAATAATTTTTTATTTCTTCGTCTATTTGATTACATCATTTAAAATTAATTTCTATCTATTATTTTTAAAAAAAATAACATCAAAATTTTCTCAAAATGTAAAACCTGACAAATTATTTTCAACACGTGTACATTATCGTGTATGAACAATGTATAAAACAATAATTGTGTTAGACTATAAATTAATTAAATATTAAATGATTAAACATATGATAGAATTGAGTGATGAGATGGTTTTAAGAGGAAAAATATGAGTGTAAAAATTCAAACTCCTAAGTGTTTTATTATATAGGTGTACAATGTTTTGGGATCTAATTTAAATATTTAATGCATTGAAATCATTAGATCAACAATAGATCTTAACAATTAAAAAAATTAACTATCAATCTAATAGTTACAAAACATTATGTTTTGAAATTAAGTATAAATAGCATTATTCTCGACAAATACAAAAAAAAAAGCTATTATGTAAAAGTTATATGACTACCAAAGCAGTCAAAATTTGACGAAAAGCATATAAGAATTACACATAAATAAGAAAAACATTTTTAAGCCAAAAGACGTACTTCTAATTTTAATTTGCATCCTGAAAAATTATTCGAATCTTAATTTATACCCTCAAAATTTAAAATTATTAATTTACACCCTGAAAGATATGAATATATATCAATGTGCACGTGAAATTAATTATCATCTATTTTGCTGTTAAAAAGTTTGAATTAATTATAAATTATACCCCCTCAAAATTTAAATATTTTACATTAATGATCCAAAAAGAATTCCATCCATTAATGCTAGTTAAATAGTTTTTAATTATATCGTATCATAACATTTTTGTGTCGTGTTCGAGTCAATAAAAAAATATTTTCGTATCGAGTCAATTGTGTTGTCTGTAATACTTGTTAGATAATTATTTTTTGTCTGCAGTTGTATTATTTGTATCTAACTTTAATTTGATCGAACAGTCAAAAGATTTGTGTCTAACTGTAGATAGAAAATAGGTATTTTATAATTTTTTTTTTAACTCGAACACTACACGAAAATGTTATGATACGATACAATTGAGAGTTATTTAACGAGCACTAATAGATGAAATTTTTTTTTAATCATAAGTAGGAAATAATTAAATTTGGAGGATTTAATTTATAATTAATTCAAACTTGTTTAATGAAAAAATGGACAGAGTTAGCCCTAGGTACATATTAATACGAATTTATATCTTTTAGGGTACAAATTAATATTTTTAAATTTTGAAGGTATAAATTAAAATTTGAATAATCTTTCGTAGTGCAAGTTGAGATTAGCCTAACTTTATATTGACATGATTTTGGCTAATTTATTTACTACGACCTCTTCCATGTTAAGTTTTTTCCAATTCAGCATATTACGGCCGGTCTAATCTGCTAATATTTTTTTAAAGACAAAATATAATTAGTCGTTTTATAACTTTCATATGCAATCCTAATAAAAATAATTATGTGGAAGGTGTAACAAACATGGCAACCCAATCATACTTAATTAGCAAAGTGCTGAACAAAAGCAATGCCTTAACACAAATACATTAAATTTGTCGTAGAATCATAGGTCGGTGTCGTATCGAAATTCATCTTAATCGTTGATTTTGATTTGAAATAATTAATAAAAAATTTAAACGAAAAGTGGAGTTTTATTTAGAACATTTCGATAATGTAACTAGACCCCAATATTTTATATCTGAATGCATCCTTGTAAATCTTTCCAGCCTAACACAAATTTTTCTCATCTCAACATGGCCGTTTGATCGGATACTTGAAAGTAATTGTCTTTTTCTTCTTTTTTCCTTGTTTGCCCAAGTCATCATAGAATGGGTCTAATCTGGAAACGTTCTTAAAAAAACAACATATTAGTGCTTCAATAACGTCCATATGGAGGCCTAAATCAAATACCAACGTTGGAAGGTGTAACAGATCCCACAAGGATTGTTTTTAATGATGAAACAAGGGTTAGGCCTGAGCATAGTTATAGGATTTACTCAACCTCAAACAACTCTCGATCTGAACACAACAACACTAAACAAGGTAGATTCATGATTTTTTTTTTCCGATAAGTAAGGTAGGTTCATGATTGTAATCATATAAATTATAGATCTCAAATTATAGATCTAATCTTAAATTGATTTGCTTTAGAACCTGTATAAAAGAGTAAACTAGATTTAGATTTATTGTGTATGTACACTATATAATTTTCAGCTAATATGAAACCCCTCACAAAAAATCGAAACATAAATATTCATTGACTATGTATATGGATGTACAATTATATGTAATTTCTCGAAAAAGTAATCTAGATGAGTGTTCCACAAAAGAACTAACACGCAATACATTGTATTGGCTAAATGTATTCTCATCACACTGCATATACATACCACGTATTAAATCGACTTGAAATTAAGAAAATATTAGGCGTGGACCTGCATGTTTTGAAGTCGAGTCTCCATAGCCTCTTAAAACCCGCATTTTTAACCGTCACACATGCTTATCGGATGGTTTCGTGCATCTAAAATTTGTAGATCAAGAATCCAAAAATCGCCTGATTGGAACGATTTGCCGTTACCTAATGAAAAAACATGGCAATCCCAATAGTATTGAATTAGAAAAGTAATAAACAGTAGTCAAAAGCAATAATTTGTCAGAGAATGAATACAGAATGTTACAACTGTATAATTGAAAATTTTTCTGTGTATCTTTGTACATGATCTTCTCTAACCTAACACAATTTTTTTTCTGATCACTAATCAATATGGCCTTTTGACATACATGAAATCCAAATCAAAACAGTCTGACCTATCTTTGTACTGATTCATCATCTTCAACAACTCAGTAGCCTTCCCCTTTGTCTTCTCTCCACAACCAACCTGTAAGACCACCAAAACCTTCTGAAAAGCACCCACTTGCAGTGCCTCAACCAGAAGATGACCTTCATTATCACCCTTACAGAGCTTCCATAGAATAGAGACTGAAAACTCAGTAGCCATTTCTGAAACTCTTAAAAGCTTCTTGACAAGCACTGGAATAGTTAGTGCATGGCTATGTGCTTTCTCTCTTCCCTCATTACTACTACAAATTCCATTAAGAACACCTAGAGACTTCTCACAGATGCTTTTTTCTGCATCTACTAGAATCTCCAAGATCAACGATACCAACCCTAATTCGACGAATTGTGATGTTATCTTCTGATCATCACTGGTCGCCTTTGATGAAACCAAGTAGTAAATCACCATGAGAGAAGCTTTGGTGGCTGTAGGGCAAATGGGTACTTTTACAATCTTGAACAACGCTTCTGCAACACCTTCAATCTCAATCAAGCCATTCACAGGTCTTTCATCCTGAGAAAGTAGCTCTTTTAGGGCTAAAACTGCGTTTTGCCTTGTGGAAAGGTCTTCACTTTTCAAAAACCACACCATGCAACGTAAAGATGGTGTTGATCCAAGCTTGGACAGCCCTTCTTGCCCAAGTGGGAACACCCATGTCAATGCAGACAATATATCCTCCAACAACCCTTCATGTTTTTGAATCGAAATACTCGAAAATGTCTCAAACGACTCCGATAAGTAACAGCCAGCTCCATTTTCTGCAATACATTTTTTGTTACGATCACTTTCTTTGGCCCAATTCTTGATCTTTCCGACCAATTCCCGGCACTTCTTGTCATCTCCGCGTTGAGTTGCAGCCATAATTCTTGAACAAATCTGCGACACATCGTAAGAGCTCACCGGAATTCTAGGCGTTGGAATCCTCTCAATCCCATGAGACCTGTTCTCCACACACCAATCTTGGATCATCTTCCTTATGGCATGATTTGGGATTTGATCAAAATGGCTCAACACTTGATTGGTCACTGGACACGTTCCATTACCCGCCTCGATCCATCTCTCGATGCTCTCTCGATCATATGTGATCCCGGTTGATAATGTAACCGGGTCTTTCATAAGATCAAGAGAAATCGGGCATCGAAAATGGGAGGGAATCGTGAGCTCTAAATCGGAGTTTCCCTCGTCGTTGCCGCCCCGACTGGCTCTTCGTCTTCTAAAAGAGAAAATCATGTTGAAACGTATAGCTTGGTATGTAATTGGGTAAGGTTTATAGATACTATCAAGAGAAGATTTGAGGTGTCATGTTTTATATGGTAAAAGTTTATGGTATGGGTCAAAGATTCAAAGGTAGGAATTAGGGAAAAAGAGAATTTGGGAAGGAAACGTTCAAAATGAAATAAGAAATGGAAGGTTTATAGGTTGTTTTTGATTGTTGTAGTATTTGAACATTGACCGTTGAAGATATGAAAATGAAAGAGGGAATATGAGACGGCTGAGGTTTGACTGGAAGACCCAGTCATGGGTCAGCCCAAGTCGGTGGCCTGACCAGTTTTTTAACACTGTTTGAGCTTTTATTTCATTTGTGGTTGGGAATTGACCGTTGGAGTTGTTGGGGCCTGCTTTATTATGTGATTAGAAACACAACTTTGATTTTGTATAATTTTTCCTTCAAACAATCTTCCTTTGATCCAAAGTCCTTGCACCTTTGTTTTGTAAGGTGGATTGTGGGGGCTGATATGCCTTAGAGTTGGTAATTCTTAATAAGATCTTTTAATTCGATATAATATTATCGGGTTTTAATTTAAAATTATACTATGTTAAAATTCGCTGATTAAACTATTTGATATGTTTAATAAAAGAGTCGATATGATTTAAGCGAAAATTATCACAATAATATGCTTAATGTGTATTTCTAGTTTCAAACAATTGTTCACATAATGGGAATTTCTATGTGTTAAACTGCATGAGCCTCATTAATCTCCCAAAAGTAGGTCCTCTTATGAAATAAGTGTAACAACCCAATCTCTATTTCCCCCCCCCCCCCCCCCTTTTTTTTTTATCTATTTTACTTAGCCAAACACTAAAAAACTCTTCAACCTACTATTTATCACACGCATTATTTTTTATTTCACTCAAATGACTCTCTAAATTTGGAGAGCTATTCAACCTCTCTCTCTCTCTATATATATATACATATATATATATATATATATATATATATATATATGTGTGTGTGTGTGTGTGTGTGTTTCAATCCCCTTTAAATTATTTAAATTTAGTTGAAATAGTTAATTAAAAAAAAACGTGGTTGGAGTGAACTTGTAAAAATGAATCTCTAAAATAGATAATGTAATATTTAAATATATTTTGAGTAGTTAAAATGGAGAGTTGGGTTGAAGTTGCTCTAAGTTACTACTTGTGATAGAGTATGAGATAGTTGTGTATTCATGATGCCCAATGTCCTGTACCCCAAAAAAAAAAAGGCGAATTATATTTTGTACCGTAAAAGATTTAAGAAATCTTAATTTTTATCTTTAAAATTTAAACTTTTCATACTACACCCTTAATATATTAAAAGTGTTATAATATGACTCTTCCGTTAATTTCCATTACTCATCTCGTTAACTACAATAGCGTGAGTTTTGTTGGAATAAATAACGGCAGGTGACAGAAAAATCACATTGCAATACTTTTAATACATTAAGGGTGCAATGTAATAAATCTCATATTTGAAGATACAAAATGGAAAAACTTAAATTTTTTGGAGTTAGAAAATAATGTTCTCCCCCTCTCTCCCTCCCCCCACCCACAAAAAAATAGATACTTGCGATAGATTTGTTTAAAATTGACGTGTTATGTTCATTATTGACAAAATAGGGGAATGGTTTGACAGTTGGTCCGAATTTTTTTTTTTGCCAGATTTGTATTGAATCTAAAATAAACAGACGGGTAGGTTATGAAAGCCATAATGATTTGAACCTAGGACCACCTGTAGAGTGGAATCTCTATGATCAGAAATTCCTATCGAGGTGAAGCTACAGTACCCAAAAAAAATCGGTAACATTCCTCTAAATTATTCTAATTTAATTCGTAATTTTATAACTTTTTGTGAGGGATTATAACTTTTGTAAGTGATTTGTGATAACTGTTTTTTCACTTTTATAATAACTTGTGATCGATTCTAAAACTTTAAGATCAATTATAAATTACAACAAAAGTAGTAAAAACAGTTACAATAAAAATAATAAAAATATTTACAAAAATTATAAAAATACCCACAAAAGTTATAAATAGTGGTATTTTTTGATACCGTAGACTACTCCTATTTAATTGCTTTGATGTGCATATATAATAAGTCTCATTTCGTTAAAAATCAAACAGGGCATGGAATAATTTCATTGCACTATTTGGGTGAGGCTTAAAGTGTAAGGGAAGGTGAAATATCCCCATAAATATATATTTACCATAAACTAAGCCTCATTTTTTTTAATTTACAAAAAGTGTGATTATTTGACGACGTATTGTTTATATAGTATTGAACAATGGTTCTTGTGATGCCAGATTTATGTCGTATCAAAGTTCGCTCAATCTATACATCACACATTTATAGTTTTATATAATTAAGTTCATAATGTGTTGAATATACTTTGCATAAGTCATATATAGCATTTGCAATTTTCAAAGTTGTGGGCCTGAATTATGTTTGGGAAATTTGGAAAATTTGGAGGCTGATTCATATTTTAGGACTTATTGGGTTTTAAGTCATTTTCAAAATAATGTTGGGTTTAAGGACATTTGTGTAGCAATTGCCCAAAATGCCCCTAACTCCTTCTTTTCCTCATAGAAAAAACCGAATAAAAGGCGATTTTATTGAAACTCGACCTGGTATGTAAGTGAAAAACAACAACATTTAAAACTAAAATAGTAATATTGAACATAATAGTAACATTAAAGAATATTATGAACACAATGGTGACAAAAAAACAATAATATTTAAAACAAAAGACAGTAATAGATAACATAATAGAAACATACATAATAACAATAACCCAATGGTGACCAACATATAGTATGTTAAAATAATCACTAATTGAAAAGTTTGAGAATTGTAAATGATGCACTATGTGATGTTGTTATCTTTACTATGTGATTGTTGCTATGTAATGATATTATGTGTGTTGGTATTGGATGTCACTGATAGAGTAATATACTAAAAGTTTGTTTTTTGTTATGAAATTTGTTTTATTAATTAATAAAAGTTTGTTGTTTTCATTTTATTTAGAATTTATATGGGTAAAATATTTATATTATATTTTATATATGATATGCATATGTGTCTTATATTTTACATTGTAGATAATCTAGTATGCAGAGTTCGGCTTATTCACAGAATACCAGATTATCGGATCCTTTTATAATATGAGTATATGTTCACAATCGTAAATGGAATTGAACACGTCATCGATATGATTGTAGTGTAATATTCTGGCATAATCTGTTTGGACTGTAGGAGATTGTTTGATGTTTCGGATTATTGCACTTGTATATTTTGTGTATTGAATATACCCGTGTTGAAATTACTATCTTTTGCTAATTTAATAAGATAATAAATACATCATGATTATTATGATTATTTATGCTTTTAATCCCTAAATATTTAATTGCCACGTGCATATAATGTTTGTCACTTTAATTCACCAAATAGTGAGATTCATATTAGATTAATAAGCTCAATGAATTGGAAGACAATGTTATTTGTATGGTGAAAATTAAATATTAAAGAAAACCACATCCTAGTATTTAAATAAATTCTAATGAGTTTATATATAATATTTTAAATGTCAAAAAATTTAAATAATTAAGTGACAAATCTCAAAGAATTCGATTATAATTCTCCCTTTTTAAAACTCTTCTTGACAATATGTTTTTATATTACAAAAAATATTTTTTTCCATCCAACCCAAACCCACTAAATCATTCAGCCGGCCAGGATATATGGGAAAATCATATCCTTGCGAATGTTTGGAAAACAAATTTGCATTTCTATGGGACCCGTGAGTAAAGGTGATGTAATAGGATTTTTTGATTATTATGCCCCTGAGTACATCTAACCCAACCTAATATTTGGATTACAAATTAGCCTTACAATCAATCTCAAACAATTTGCTTTTTCAAGAAAAACACAAAAGTAGTGAAACATTTCATTCTTTTGTTTGATAGGACAAAACAGAAGATTTTGATTGCATTCATATGTTGAGTTGATCGAATGGGATGATCTACTCACAAAATTCGCTCTCCACGGGAGTTTAAGATAAGATCTTGGGTTGGGTTCTCCTTCTCCTCTTTGAAAAGAGCTCAAACAGACACATGAACATATCTACATTAAACAGCTACCTTCTCCGGCGAATGGAAGCAGCGATTGGAGATAATCTTCGTCTAGCAGTGGCTGAGAGAACAGAGTAGGGAAGATGTGTGAATGGAGAGAAGGAAGAAAAGAAAGACCCATGAAATGGAGAGAAACGTACATGAACCAGCAACCTTATCCGTCTGTTCGTCGTCGTCGTCGACGCAACAACGGAGAGTAGGTTAACAAATGAGAAAGGGTAAAATCGTAATTATGCCGGGATATCCAGTCGGTGGCCAAGTTAACCCACTCTTCCCATGGGTTCCCAAATAAGTAGGTTAAAATCTAGTGTTCATGCCGGGTCAAGATTCATTAAATCTGAGTTGGATTTCCGAAGTCTTTTTTAACTTACTTGGATAACTGGGGTCCACTTTTTTTTTTTTTTTTTTTTTTTGCCAATCTTACATGTGTTAACCCTTATAATCCGCAATTCAAACACACCCTTAAGGCCGGATTGTTTGTGGTATTAGATTTGAGTAGTATTAGAAATCATTTCTATTTCATTCTTATCCAATGATATATTATACTTGATTTTAAACATTTATCTCATCCTTCGGTTGCTTGTTTGTTTGTTTGTTCAACAGCTACTATAGTGAGTTTCACAAACAACCATCAATTCTATCACATCTTATATAATAAATATACCATTTTACCCTTATCTCCCATTCAATTACTCTATTTGTGTAACATTTTTGTACAATATTTGGTATAATAAATAATCTAATGCTATGAATTGGTGATCCTGTAAAGAAATATTAAAAAAAAAAAAATTCAATGATACCATTAGCTTAAACATAATATAAAAAAAAATTCAAAAATTTTTTTAAAAAAAAAACCGTAAATACCGTACACTTAAACATAATATAAGAAAA